CTAAACATTTACCTTGTTTTTTTTCAGGCTCCCTTAGATCCCTCAGCTCTATTTTCCTGGCTCAATGAATTTGGTTTTATCCTTCATAATGTAACTCAGCCTAGAAAAGCCTGGATGCCATCAATATGAGTTTAAGCATACTGAAGTGTGTGTTCACACGTGTGTGTGTGTGTGATTGACAACAACCACAGCATCAACATCAACAGCAATACCATGAGAATTAGAACTGGTTTTGAATCCTGCCTTAACACTTCCTTGATGAGTAATCTTGGGCGATCTTCCTTATTTTTGCAAACTTCAGTTTCCAAGATGACAATAAAATTATAGTGCAGGGTTTTCATGAGGACAAAAATGACATATGCACCCTAATATAAACATGATCAACCCTAAGCCCTGGTACAATGCTAAATGCAAAGTAGGATTTTGAAAACAATTCTTGAATATGAATTTGAAGTTTCTTCGTGACCCATTCAACCAAACTCTCTCTGAAACTTCCTGCACACTCATTGTAAAATCAGGATTGGTTTTACACTCTCAGATTAGGGAATAGATTATATTCAATTTATCCAGAGCACTAAAGCCTTGTTTATACTGCTTTGATGCAACTAAGTTTCTGCAAATAATTCAACCTTTAGTCACACAATCCATTTTTTTTTTGTAGCTCAAAAAGGCATTGACACTGATTTAAATAATTAAAAACAGTTGGATGGATATGAGTTAATGTGACTTGACTGTATCATTTGTCATCACCAAAACCCATACATCTCACAAGATCAGTAAGACTTAAAACCAATTTCTCTCCTGAATGCCAATGAACTTATTACACAAATTCATTAATTGACCTTCATGGTAGGGATAACTTATAAAAAATTACATAGAAAGTGCTCAAAGAAAAGCATTGCTTGTATGTAAAGAGTGTTGTATGGTATTAGAAAAAAGTAGTTCTGCCCTATGAAGGAAAATTTTCAAAATTTTCCACACACTATATCTATATTGATTATGACTTCTCTTCCTTAGACTGTGCATGAGTCTGGCAAAGCAGGTGAATGAAGAAACTCAGAAGTGTATAAAATCTCACAACACTTGGGAGTTGATAAAGCATACAGCAGCATTTCACAAAGCACACTGTGCAAAGAAAATCTTCACAGAAACCAGTTGAAAAAAATCCCAAGCAACTGTACTATTAGAAAACAAAACTACGAGCCTGAAAATAAGGGAGGGACTGATCTCTGCTGACTGCAAGGGGTTAAAATGGGATGGAACTTAGAAGACCAGCAGAATGAGTGACCATTAGATTAGTCATCTTGACTAAGGGTTTTCATTTGTTCATTAGTGAAGTACACTAAAAGGTTATAATATCTCCACTGTACATTACTTACAGTTTTTTAAAAAAATTATTATGCATATGGCAAACTATGTAATCTTCTATTTTGTATCATATGTTTAATCTACCTCAATACATATTCCTATTACCATTATGAAGTCTTACATTAAAAAGTATCTTCCAGGTATTTTTCCAGATTTTTTTGATTTGTCTGGATTTGGTGGATCTTATCTGACAGTTATGTTGGGAAGAGTGAGAGGGACTGGTACTGAAATGACAGCACTTTGAGAAAGTCCAGGAAATGTCTGACTCTGATTTTCCGAGAAGTGGATTCTGCCTTCTGAACATCAGTTTGTGGTCACTCATCAGGGTTATTTATTGTATTGTGTATGTGTATATGTGTGTGTATGTGTGTGTGTGGTGTGTGTGTGTGTGTGTGTGTGTGTGTGTGTGTAGTGCTGGGCTCAAATCCAAAGCCTTGTTTATGGCAGGCAAGCACTCCACTGCTGAGCTACACCCCCTCTCCCCTCATCAGGATTGGAGGAAAATATGTGTCCCTATTTATATTCTAATACTTGGTCAAGGATATGTGGACATATCTCAAATGTGGTTATATTTAGCTTTAGTAGGAATACTGTTGGATAAACTTTGTGCAAACTAATTTTAGGATCTGCTGTATGAGTATTTATTTCCATTGAAGGTAATTCCATTGTAGGTCTGTTGGCCTACATAAACAATTTGAGCAGTATCCAGGAACTCTCAAGTGATGTTCATGAATCTTGGAGTTTTCAATCTTTGCCTTTTCCTATGAGAACAGTCCTTGAGCAAAGGAACAATCACTAAACTCCAGAAAGAATCCAGCCAAGTAGGGTAAAGGGAAAGCTGAAGATGAGGGTAGGGCAGGGGAAAGAATTCTCCCATTTGTGTAGGCCATTGTAATACCAACAGACCCCAAGCTGCAGAATGGAGGAGACCACAGAGCACAAAATTGGCAAAGGTCAAGTTTAGAAGTGAAGAGCCATTTTCTCACAACAATGCCTTTGCTATGAGTTTTACTAGACACAAGAAGTTTTGGTTAGGTTGTACTATATTTGAGAGAACCCATAGCACTAAGTCTGTAATGGGCAAAAATGTGGTTTTGTATCACTGTGCAAGTGATCCTGGATTTTTGCCAAAATATTCTCTTGTTGAATAAGGAGTCCTGCAGTTTCCTATTGAGACCTGCATTTGATGTTTCTCCACTGATCATGCATCTGTTATACTTTTACTGGTGATCTTTTATGGGTGACTCAGGTTAATTTCTTTCAGCAAGTTTCTTGTAAGGATGTTATTATTAGTCCAATTTCTTCCAACTTTTCCTAAGAAGTAATAGTCCCTATATATGTTATATAATATATATGTTATTATATTATTTATACGTATATATATACACATATATATACACATATAGGTGTGTGTATAGATATAGATATATAGAGAGAGTGTATGTGATTGTGTGTGTGTGTGTGTGTGTGTGTGTGTGTGTTTTGCACAGGTGATTAAATCCAGGGATGCTTAACCACTGAACCACATTCCTAGCCCTTAAATTTTTTTTTAAATTTTGAGACAGGTTCTTGATAAGTTGCTTAGGGCCCCCTTAAGTTGCTGAGACTGGCTTTGAACTTGGAATCCACCTGCTTCAACCTCCTGTGACACTGCCAAGTGTCACCATGCCCAGCTAAGATAAAATAATATTTGAATTTCATTTTAAATTAAATTATAAATGAGATTTGTGCAACTATTAGATATACACAACTTTTCAAATCTTAGAACAAGACTAGATACCATATTTTCTGCTCCATATTCATTTTCAGGAGGTACGTGATTTTCTTTTTTAAATCACAGCACCCATTGAAAATCCAGTGTCACAAAGTAAGATGTCATTGAAAGGAACATAATGAGACCCACTCTTGAAACTGCATTGCCTTGAGCTAGTACTTCATGTGATGTGCTAGAGATGTTAAGTATTGTGTGTCTCTTTAAAATTTTTCTATTTCCCTGGAAATTTTAAAATATTTCACAGCACCTGATGAGTTCACTGACTCACTCTTGCAATATGAATATACTTTATGACCCAGGAATTCCACTGATAGGTAAACAAATTAAGAAAGCTCAAATATTGAGGTAAGAAGGCAGTAATTATAAGGTGCTCATTATAGCATTGCAGAAATAGTTATGAAATGCAAAATAGTAGAATTTATAAATAAATTTGGGGGCATTCATATAAGGGAATGATATGCAGCTCCTAAAATAAATATGCTATCACTACTTTATTCAATGTGGATTTATCTCAAAAGCATAAATTGAATAAATATATCAAGTAAGGAATGATACCTTGAATATGATACTACTTACAGAAAGCTTAACTGCCTAAGAAATAGACATCACTGTATACACGTGTAGCAGAAGTGTTCAATGACATACATGAGAATAATAAGCACTGGTTTCATGCCTGTGTTAACTCTGGGGAAAAGAGGATGAATGTGAAGCTGAGGTATGCTCCTTAACCCTAGTTGTGGGATGTTTCTCTTGAAAAATTGAAACCAACATGACCCAGTGGTAAGATATGATAAAGTTGAGTGATTGGTGCACAGGATTTGCTATTACATTCTCTATTTTTCTGGTATGTTTGAAATGATTCCCAGGTAAAAACGGTAAAACTAAAATAATAACAACAGACAAAAAAAGGAAGGCTCCCACCTTTTTTAACCCTTTTTCTTAACATTGTCGTAATATTTATGCTCTTTGAGTCTAGAAACTCCACAAAGAAGTTAAAGCTAAGGAGATTATGTTTCATGTGAGCCCAAAAATGCTCTTTTTGTCCCTGATGAGCAGAGCTCTCTCTGTTTTCTTGTTGCCATGTCTTGAGCTGCCTTCCTCATCGATCCCTTTGCCATGATGTTCTGCCTTTACTTCAGTTCCTGAGCTATGGAGTCAGCCAGCTGTGGACTAGACCTGTGAAACCAGGAGCTCCAAATAAATTTTTCCTCCTCTAATTGTTCTGGTCAGGTCTTTTAGTCAGAGTGACAAAAAAGCTGATTAAAACACTATCATCATTGCAAAACCCAGCCACTTATCTCTTTCCTAGTGTCTGGAAATATTGCACATGAATCAAAGGGCTCATCCTGTCTTCAAATAGAAGAGGGTGGAGGGGTGGAGGATGGTCTCCTGTTTTGGGAGTCCCTGCCCCGTTAGTATTGGTTAAGTTTTACTCCGTGATGGGCTGGGACAAATGATTTAAACTTAAAGCTTCAACTTGAACTTCATTGAAAGACAAGAACAAAGAGGATCATAAATTGAAAAAGTGCTGGTAACTACATTCACAGTGACTTCGTTTTCCTCACAACTGCTCCTCTGGGGAAGTTTCTTTCATCCACTTATTTTCTGCTTAAATGACCTTTGCTTCTCTGGAACCCCTCCCATCACCCTGGGCAATGAGGGTGGGACAGGAGGTCAGTACATTTGGAAATGCTAACACACCAGGGGAAATCACAGGATGGACTCTCCCACCAACACCACTTATGGCTGCAGCCACAGATAACACCCTTGTCCCCAACCCATTTCCAGAGGTTTAGCATTTTCAAACCTCATACTTTGTAAAATGAGGTCTTCATCCTTGTGTTTTCTAAAAGCTGACCTTGGTTTTCTGTGATGAATCAGGAAAATAATGTTGAAGGTGCATGACCCAACAGTCGTTGGGAGACCTCCTTCTACAATATCTCTTGGAGTGGTGAGGCCAGTGAAGGATCCGGCAGAGTCTGAGAATGTGAGAGGGCAGCCCATGGAGAGGCAGCCTGGCCTCCTGACCCATTCACTCCTTCACTTTTTATTCCCTTTGCTGGGTCCCAGATTCTGGCTCCTCACTCTGTAGCTGCCCTAGTTTTATAGGCAGTAGTAATAGGCTGGAGGCAAAAAGTTTTAGAATCAACTTGGACATGATCCAAAAAAGAGAAAAGAAATGGAGACTCCACACATGGTGCTATTATTAGAGCCCTTTAAATGAAGGAAAGCCCCAAGTACCCACAGGTCCTGAATCTGCCTTCACAGGCCCTGGAGAGTTCGTCTGGCACCATGGTGGACAGCTATGCTCCCCAAACAACCTGTGCTGCTTCATCTCTCCCAACCTCCCTTTTCAGGTAGATGATGTCCAAGTGACTAAGGCCAACCAATAAGATGTGAGCTGAAGCGCCTCTGCCTTTAAGTCTCATCTCTACACTGTCACTGCCCACAGGGCTCCTGGACACATGTTGGCACCCTGCAGATCCGTGCACATGTAGTACAAACCACTGGCTAAGGTGCTTCTAAGGACCACTCTAGGAAGGTGGGTAGGATTCCTAGTGACAGTAGCTGTCCCTCACCTGTCCCGCATGTCACACTGCACTCTGTCCAGCGGCCAAACTGCCAGAAGTACACCAGTTGCTCCACGTCGTTGTCAAGGCCATCTTTCCGGATTGTGTACTCATACTTGATGCCTGGGTTAGTCACCTGGAATAGGAGCTAAAAGGCAAGAAAGGGATGACAAAACATGATGTCATGACTTTAGACTGCAAACCACAGTCAGGTCAAAACTCTACACAAAGGTCCATCATCTGAAAGTAGTAGAGAGAATACACACTGAAACAGATACTATTAAATGGACCTATATCTAGGTCCATATTTGTGTCTGTACCTCTACTTTCATACCTCCCTCTACCTCTGTCCATATCTATATAGTCTCCATTCCATTATTTTTTGGTTGGATTTTCATTTGTGTAAATTAATGGGCATGTCCAATCACATGGACATTACTCTGAGAGAATGTCAGGGAGTGTCCTTTCCAACAACCAGTTGATAGGTCATTTGTGTCTTATATAATTATCAACTTCGTGAATACAGGTAAGTGCCTTAGTTCCCTCATGTATTAAGTAATAATAGTACTTACTAATGGGGTTATGATGAGGGCTAAATGAGTAAATACTCGTAAAGTTATTAGAACATGACACAAGATTAGCACTAAATAAATGTTAACTGTTATCACGCCCTTGCTGTTGTCTTTTGATGCTCTGTCCTAACTCTCAGCTGGTTAGTTCCTTTAATGCATAGTAATTCTGGGATAAGAATGTCATGGGTTTTAGCTAATGTGTGCTGCTCTTGGGATCGTCCCTTCACTTCCTTGTCCTATAGGCCATCCTACAGCACATTTGAAATAGATTCACCTTAAACTCACAGGTGGTGAATTATTTGCTCCCTGGGGTTGAGATTCCCATATGTACATCTTTTTTCCCTCCTGACCAGGTCAGAAATAAAGTCTGCTGACATTCATGGACCACAGCTGCCAACCCTGACCTCTAACTTTTGAATGTGGCTAGATTGACTGGCTGGAGTATCTGCTGTTCCCAGTCTGCCTTGCCTCTACCAGTACAGTCATGCCTTTTTCTTTTCTATAGTTCAACACCAAAATGAACGACAAGTCCTTGTGCCTCTGAAGAGCACATACTGCATCCTAACACCTCCATCCTCCTAGAAATTCACAAAGGCAAACCCTCTGCCTGAGGACAAGTGTCTGCCAGCATGTACCTTCTTCCCCACTGCTGGGAAGCTACCTGGAGACTCATGTCACACTGACAATAGGCTGCAAGCTCTGTTACATATCTGACGAATAATTACCCTCAAGTAAACCAGCCTGGAAACAACTCAGACTTCCTAATGGGGGATTTGAGAGCCACTGGCATTTTATTATGGGAGTTTTAGCAATTCCTAAGCAATAAAGGATGAGACCCACAAATATATTGCTCCCCTCTCTCTTCTTTGCTAGAAGAAGTTTTAATGATTCTTACTTCATATGCCCCAGCAAATACCTGGAAAAGGAAAAGAGGCTACACTGCATCCATGTCTGCAGTTCCCTTCCCCTCTGCATTACCTGGATCCACACTGACTCATTGGTGGGGCCAGGGGCCAGCAGTTTCTCCAGGTCTCCTTTCCGGTCATACTGAAAGACCGTCCCTGCCAGCTTATAGTTTCCATTCCACTGGATAATAAATCCTCCATTCAGATAGTATTTTTCTGGGTCTTCACTTCTGATGGCCAGGAAGTTTCCTGCTGCTTTGATTTCCATCACCCTTATGTCCCTCGCTCCTTTGGGAATGAGCCCGATGTCAACATAACCTGAGCAATAAAGAGATAATAGTTAAAAAGACGCGCTAGCTTCCTGGCTGGACACAGTCTGTTTCTGACCCTTTGTTTATCCTCCTCTCTGTGTCCCCATTCTCTTGTACCCTTGCAGGGTGTCCACTGGGATTGGCAGAAGCACCAGTTACTGAGAATTTTAAAGAGCTTGGCCAGGAGCAGAATTTTCAGGAGCTTTGCAACTCAATGTGTAAACAGTTTTGTGCATTTATTTCACCTCTTCTCACAAAACTGTTTACACATTGTCAGATGAGTCTTCCTAAACATAGCATTGGATACATAGTTCTGCCCCTCCCTATTGGCAGCAAGTTAAAAAAAAAAGTGTCTTACAAGAAATTTAATCCTGGCTTCTATTCATTAAGAAAATTCTGGAGGAAATCTTGCCTTGATTGCCACCTGGCTTGTTTTAATACATGCCCTGATGAGAAACTTAGTTCTGGGTACAGCCTTTGCTGTTGGACAATCCCATTCATTAGAAAGCCCCTCCCCTTCCCCTTAATGTCTTGCTAAAATAGGAATTTGTAGTTTATTCTCATGTGTTCTTATCCAGCCTCCTGAAAAAGCATATGTGGATATCCACGTAGAGATGACGAACAGCTCTAACCACAGTCTTCTCCTCGCTTACTGGTTGTCATGGTGGGAGGCACGCTGGTGAAGAAGGAATTCGCACAGCAGTGTCCTCCATTTGCAGGCTCTACGCCAAGCACGTCATGCTTCAGTGTGATTTAGCCTAAGAGACATCACTTCACAGAATCGAAAGAAACTGGACTTAGAGAAGGTTATATGAAAGGTGCCCTGGGGCACTGGAGCCAGAAGACTTGTCTTCTAGTCTCTACATCATGAATTAGCTCTGTGACTCTCAGTCATTCACTGGACTCCTCTGAACGTTGTCTTCACAAAGCAGGGAACTGAATGATGCCATTTGAGGGCTCTCTTCACTGTAGTGTTCAACAATCTTATTCTCTTCTGAGCTGACTATTGTTTGTTTCTTTAACTTTTTCAAACAAAATGTGGTTTTAAGGCTCTGATCATCCCATTAATTTCCCCATAGATATAACTAGTCTTTTTTAATTGGTGCATTATAATTATACATATGTTATATGTATAATTATTTAATATTATAATTATATAATAGTGGGATCCATTATTCCATAATCATACATGCACACCACCTGATCAACCTCACTCTGCAATACCTTCCCATTCCCTGTCCTCCTCTCCCCAATCTGCTTTCTCTTCTGCTCTTCCTTCTATTATTGTTATTATTTTTGCTGTTATTTTAATTAGTGTGTATATATGTGATTCATTGTGTTTTATTCTTACAAGGAAATAGCATAATTTAGTGGATTTCATTCTCCAGTATTTTCCAATTACCTACCCTCCTCCCTTTCTCTGATCCCCTTCCTCTATGCTATCAATCTTCCTTTCATTTTCACATACACAGGGTTTTTCAGCCTGAGAAGTAAGACCTTCATCTCAGTCATCAGAAAGTGCTTGATTACTCTTCTCCCTCAGATATGAAAGTAGTATGAGTCCTGGGAGTCAAACACTGGCCTGTTCAGCAGTAATGATTTGCTCAGAAACTGGATATAGGACATAACCTCAGTTTTATTTTTCAAATTGCAAGCTCTCATCCAGAGGAACAAAAGTATGAGTCTTGTAGTATTCAATTAAGTTTCATTTGGCTCCCACACACTTGCCTAAAACAGCTGATTAAAATGACTGATGCAAAACTACCTTGGGGAAGATATTTATCACATGTAATTGAAGCTAATGCAATTTTTAAAACTGCCTTTGGGGTGTTGCTATCTGTAACCATCTTCTCACAGGGTGTTGAATGCCTTCTCATAGCAGAACTCATGCAGGGAAATCAAATCACTTTAAATATTATACCTCCTACTTTGTTCCTTGCTTTAAAAATGAGGGGAATGATATTGACCAAAGTATATTGTTATATTGCGTGCATATACAAATATGTAACAATGAAACCCATCATTATGTACAAGTATAATGTATCGATAAAAATATAGAAAAATGGGTAGAAGGAAGAGATGGAGAAAAATTATAAAAACAGTTTACTTTTTATTCTTCCATTTAGAGAATTTTAAAGTTGGAAATATTTATCGTGGGCAGATTGATTTTTTCTACTAAAATAAAGCATTCAGCAAATATCAGTGCTGTATCTGCATAGATTTTAGATAGAAGAAGGATTGGTAAAAATAATTCAAAAGAGTTAAGAATGATGAACATATTAATCAAGCAAAATCAATTTTCTTGCATCTTCTCTACTTTGAAACATTAGCCACTTCTGCCAGTATTGGAGAGAGAGGGAAAACACTAGGGGAAGAACAGTGTTACCTTAGATTAGGTAGAGGGAAGTCATGGGAGGGGAGGGGAGGAGATGTGGGGATAGGAAAGATAGTAGAATGAAACAGACATTATTACTTTATATATATATGTGACTGCATGACCAATATGATTCTGCAACATGTACACTCAGAAAAATGAGAAATTATATCTCATCTATGTATAACAAAGTGCATAAATGCATTCTGCTCTCATGTATAACTAATTAAAAAAATTAAAAAGAAGCAGAATAAAACAACAGCAATAAAAAGAAGTTGGATTGACTTGCCCTTGACTTAGAGTTTTAGAATCAATTATTTCAAAAGAGGTTTATCAGGGTAAGAGAATCCTGTTACACATGGTGAGCAAATATAACTGTCTTGCGAGAAACCAGTGGAAGGGAAAGATAAGAGAAGGAACAGATACTAAGGCAGCTTCCTGTCCTAAATGCTTCTAGAACAAAGGATTATAGCCCTAAACCACGGAGAGTCTTTAGTCCTCTTGATAAGAAAATTCTCAAGCAGAGTGTCCAAGCATTCTCCCTCTCCTCCCACCCATTCCAACTTGAGGTTTTCTAGGAAACATGCAGCAGAACAGACTCCATTTTGGCTTTACGACAGCTATGTCCCCTCTTATCATTATGAACCTGGATTCTTTCTGGAATGTTGTCTTATGTGATGCTCATCCTTTCTATATGCACTGCCTTAATCCAGACTTCATCCCCTAAACTTGGATTCATGTTTTAGCTCCTAGCACTGGGTTCTCCCATGCCAGGCAAATTTGTATGTTGCCAGGGAACTCGTCTCTCTAGCACTGACCCTCTCATTTTAGTCACCCACATAAAATCAAGGAGTGGTCTCTCTTCTCTCTGAAATTAACAGCAAACACATTGAACCTCATGGTATAGTACAGGAGCTACTTTGAGTCTTGAAGCATATAATTTCTTCCTCTTCCCACTGGCCAGTCCTGTGCAGACCTTCCACGCTCCTGCCACAGCTCCTCCTCCTGCCTATGCAGTGGTGGGTTCTACTTCCTCAGAGTTTAGAAGGCCAGGGATGCAGACACCTTGCCCTACAAGAGTCTGTTCTGTAGCATGTTTCCCAGGAAACCTCATGTAACATTATGGGATTAGGCAGGTGGCTGTAACAAAACCTGTGAATGTTGTTAGTTCTTAACTATGTGCATTTTATCTTCCAACCAACCAGCAGATTAGTGCAGAGCCTAGGTAGCCATCACCAGAAGAACCAAGCACATAAACACACAGAATCATTAATAGGTGGGTACCTAGGTGGTCAAGTACACTTGTAATTCCAGGCCACTGTTACTTTTACTCCATTCCAAGCATTTCCTTTTCTAAAGCTGCAGATTCTATAGAACAGGGATTTTCTCTGTTCTTTTTCTGTTTTCTAAATTGCAGATTACTATTACTATTACTTTTGTAGTGCTGTGATTGAACCCACGGTGTTCTACATGCTAAGAAAGTGCTCTACCATGGGGCCATATCCCTTGCTCCTATTTTTTTTCTTTAATATTCTTAACTATGAAAATGAATGATATGTATGTTGTTTCAGAAAGAGGAAATTGAATTAAGTATCATGCCAAGAGAGTTATGACTCTATTATGTGCAACAAATCTGCTAAATACATTTGTGATTTTGTTTATATCCATATTATTAAAGATGAGTTTTGCATGGTAACTATTCTAGTGACATAAAAAGGTTTTGAGATGAAAGTCTGAGCTCATTCTGGTTATGATCAGAGTAAGGAGGTAGAAGTTGAGGCTGGTAGTTAGGGCACTGAGTTAAGTAGTCTAGTTAGCCATATGAGAGTTCCCAGGAACTCAGATAATGGGTCCCTGGTTTTCCATAACTAGCAAAGCGGTGTGAACAAGACCAGCTTAGCTTAGTGATCACAGGACCCAGCAAGAGCAAAGTCCAGAGAAGCTCACTAAGACCAGAGAAGCATGCCACAGTGGTGGTTTTAAGAAGTCCAAGATGCCAAAACATGTCAGGAAAGAGCTAGCTGATATCTAACACCAAAGCAGGTAAGTAATACAGAATCCAGGGGTGTAAGGAGCAGGAAACAAATCAAGACTGAGGAAACTGGGCTACAAAGGGTCCATGTCTAGGCCAAAAATACGGCCATGATAGATCAGGATAAAGGTTACAGATCTGAGAAATAAGCCCACTGCGTTCTTGGAAAAACCAAGCCTAATGTCCATCAACTTCTTTCTGAACAAGGTTCCTTATTTAATTCCTGCCTAAGGGTCAAGTTTCAGAGCAGAGTCTTGGGTCCGTGACTTCAATGGTATAAGACAGAGAAGGCAGTGGGGAGAGTCCTCCAGGCCAACTGCACAACAGATCCTCAATTAACATTTCTTAATCAATGAGTGAATGAATAAATAAATGAATGAACGAACAAACAAATCAGGCAGTTGTTAATATCTCTATATAGGATACTGTATTCTGGGCCCAAGTTTTTGCATTTCTGGATACTTTTAATCACAGTAACCATGGAACTATGCCTGATGCCATTTACTTTTTTTTTTTTCCAACAGTAGAAAATGAAAGCTATTATGGGGAGCCTACTTAAGGAGGCCTTTGTTTCTCAAGTATGGTACTAATTAAAGAGAACTATGGTACCATCAGGTGCATGGTCTCAAATCCACTAAACAAATCTCTACAGAGAAAGAAGCTCTGTTGGGACATCCATGAAGGCCAGGGAGACAGATACCTTCCCCTTCAAACTCTGCCCAATTTCAACTCTCAGATATCCACAGGTATGATCAGTCCTGAGGCTATCAGAAGGGAGACAATTAAAAAAAAAATTCTCACTCAGGGTCAGAAGGAGCCTCAGAAGCTGAGGTCCAAGGGTTAACTTTCCAAGGCCAATGGTCATTTAGAATAGGACCTGCTCACTTGCCTGCCAGCCTATTTTAATTCCACATCATATTTTTTCTTAGAGCACCCATAAGAAATAAATCAAAGAATCTGCCTAATATTTCATGCCTTCATAGTCCAGGGCAATAGGGACCCTCCATTTCTAAGGTCTCCTGAGAGAAGGAGGAGGAGGGGGAGGAGGAGCAGTGTTTGACCACCAAGGGCACTTTAATTGCAGACGTTTTCACTTATATTTCTTTCTTTTTTTTATTGTTGGTACTTATATTTCTTTTTAAATGACTCTGTTAAAAAGAGCTATGAGCCAAAGTAAGTATTAAAGGAAAAGAACACAGGAGAAGCCATGGATCAATCTGGCCATGCAGGGTTTGAAGGATTGTTGAATTATTCTGAGAAATTTATCATGCATTCCCATGATTTCCCAGTGCCAGTCTCCATCTGTTCTCCAGCTTCACTATTCCTGGTATTGCCCGATGGTTGCTTATTTCCCCCAGAAAAAAACACACTGGGTTCTCTCGTGGCCACAGGCGTGAACAGATAGTGAGACTCTGAGGATCTGATGCATAAGCACTGGACTATCAAAGCCATGTCCAAACAATGACAATCCCCTGTGTGACTGGCTGCAAAATCATCCTTGTTCTGGAAATAATCCACCATAAGTCACAGATACCTGAGAGCAAAGGCCATGTTCTTTTGACCAGGGATATAAGAGTTAAAACATCAAGTTCTTGAAATAATCCACTGCCACCCACCACAGAAACCACAGTTGGGAGAGGAGAGATGACAACAGAATATTTTTGGACATGCGTTACAGGAGCAATGATACCAATTTATGGCTTTGGGTCACAGTAGGGAAGGGACCCTGACCGAAAAGGATGGCTTGTGTTTCCAAGGAGTAACAACACCAAAGCCAGACTGTAGGCAGGACATCAAGGAGGAAAAGTTCTTTCTCGGATATTCCCTTAATATAACTGTAGAATAGTTAATGATTTTTTTCTCCTTTATTACCAAAGGAATATGAAATCAGTCTTTTTAAACTTAAATTTATATGAGTACTTATTGAATACTTACTGTAGATTCAGACAAGTAGTTTGGAATTGAGAAGGGTAATGCAAAGACTAAATGACAATTCTGCTCTCAGTTAACGGCATTAGAGAGAAAATTAAATATAAGGTGAAATAAGGCAGCAATACAAGACAGCATGTAAACAAAAAGAGGGAATTATATACAGGATGTCTTTAAAGAGGGGAACTAAGTTCCTTTTTTTTTTTTTTTTTTACTTTGGACTTCACATTAATTAACTATTCCAATGCAATCTAGTTGCATTTCCCAAAATTTTACCTCACTTCTTGGTGTCATTTAAATAGTGGGCTGGGGATAGCCAGGATTTTATGGTGATATAGCCTCACTAAGCATAGAGCAAAGGTAGGATCTGGCAAATGTCCTGTGGGTCTATGGAGTCAAGACTTCCTTAGTGGATGCTGCAGAGTCCAGAATAAAAATTCAATTTTCCACAGTGTGCTGGGGTGGCAGGGTCAGAGAGATCTGAGGAACACGTTGAGGCATAAATAGTTGAAGGCTGACACCATTTTCTGGGTGCCAAGAACCATCAGCATCCCTGTGGGTAGCAAATGGGTAAAGGAGAACGGAAAGCGTGAAGGGGCACAGAGAAGTCAAATACTCAGCAGTGGGTCTGTGGCAAGAGGCTCTGAAACTTCCAAATGAGTGCGGGGTGGGGGAGCAAGTTTTGTTACTTGTCTCTTTTTCTCTTCCCTAAGAGACTAGGAAAAAGGGGGGGAAAATCCTCACAATTTTCTAAGTGACTCAAAGGTTAAATGGAAAATATTCAGGGATGACAACTCTGATTTTCAAAGGAGTTACCATAATGTTAGGAGCACAGCATATCAGAGGCCCAAGTAAGAATCTCTATGGATAAATAAAAATGAGGTTAAATGCAGAAATATGTTTTTTTTTTTTTGGCAATGGGATTGAACTCAGGGGCACTTGACCACTGAGCCACATTCCCAGCCCTATTTTGTATTTTATTTAGAAAAAGGGTGTCACTGAATTGCCTAATGCCTCACCATTGCTGAGCTGGCTTTGAATTTGCGATCCTCCAGCCTCAGCTTCCCGAGCCGCTGGGATTATGGGTGTGTGCCACCATGCCTGGCTCAGAAATATGTTTTTAAGTGAGTTTTTAAATTTATAATTTAAGGAAATAAGGCCACATCTAAATAATGGAAAACTTGTATAAAACACCTTCGCAAAGATCAAAAGATGTTAGCCATCATAGGGTGCTTAATCATGAGCTTAAAACATATTAAGTTATTAAATTCACATAAACATATTATTAAATTTACATCCCTAGCAAGTAATCTGAAGGATACCTCTCATCCAAAATAAAGCTATCAATCAAAAACAGGGAATAAAATCTTTCAGTGCTAATTCTAAAAGAGAAGGATCTGAATCACATTTAAAAATTTAGGGCTGGGGATGTGGCTCAAGCGGTAGTGGGCCTGCCTGGCAGGCATGCGGCCCGGGTTCGATCCTCAGCATCACATACAAACAAAGATGTTGTGTCCGCCGAGAACTAGAAAATAAATATTAAAAAAATTCTCTCTCTCTCTCTCTCTCTCTCTCTCTCTCTCTTTAAAAAAATAATTTAAAAAAATTTAAACTTAGTAGTTCAGTAGTCAACAATTAAGATACAGGAATAGAATTTAAACAAATTTATGCTTACTAGGGAGCAAGATGCCACATCACCAAATGAAGAACACACTGGATACTCTTGGGATCCTACTTGGTAAGTTCATGGCATCGCCTCTAGGTAGCAGACACTACCTCTCTCCCTCAGGCTCTCCTGCTGTGGAGCTTGCTGGACTCTTTATTTCCAACATTGACATCTCCACAAAATCCAGAGATTTAACAACCTAATCCCCACCCCAGGCAGCCTGGACCATGACAGGTGGGACTGGTGATTCTCACCCATTTACCCTTCCGATGGGAAAACTCAGATGTGCAAGTTCTACACCGGCTTCTGACACAATGGCAACAGCTCAAGGATACATCCTTTCTCAGCTTTCCCTCTTTCACTTCTCAACTCCTTACTGGTATTTCCCAGGACATCTTATTTCCCAAGTAATTATTTGTTCCTGAATTCTTGTCTCAGGGTACATCTGGGGAAGCTCAAATAAGAAACCCTGAGTTGTCACCAAGTCTAACCTATTTCCTTCTCCCAAGAAACCCACACCCAAGCTGGGGTTCATTGATAGGGCCAAAGGACATGAGAACTATTTTCACTGAAAGCAAACCTGCACAGGGTCATAGCTGATTTGGGGTGAGGGTGGATTATCAGAGGTCAAAAGCTGGTAAAAGAAGAAATCTTGTAAATGATAGTTACATGGAAAGAATAATGAAGTAAGGGTTTTAAAAAAGAGAGAAAAAAAGGGTGGGGGAGAAGAGTTAGAAGAGTTGCTCTGAGAGTCATACGGAACATAGAGTGGATCCCCTTTACCCGCTTACAAGGAGCAATTGAGTATGAGGGAGAGCTGAAGCAACCCTACTTTGCTTCTCCTTTGGCCTTAAAGGTATCTCAATTCTTCTGCCTTTGGACCTGTTGCTGGCTTCTCTGCTGCTGTCCCAGGCAGAACCTGCCTGTGTCTGCTTTCTTCTTGACCAGTTTTGGTTTCTTTTCTCCCTTAGTTCTTGATCTGTTTGATGCCATTGACCTTCAGCCCTGATCCTCTTGTGATGCCTGTTTCCAGAGATCACACTCTCATCTCTGTTCCCATGAGCTGACAGCAAGCCCTTCTATGTCTGTCTGTCTGTCTGTCTGTCTCTCTCTCTCTCTCTTTTTCTCTTTTATGTCTCTGTGATGTCTTCTGTATTTTCTTAGCAATCAACCACCCCTCTTAAAACTGCCCAGGAGCTTTTTCTCCTTTGTACTGAGGGCTAGAGTCTATTTCAAATGCTTTTGAAAATTATAAGCTATTTTTTTTAATATACAAAACCTAGGAATCTGTCAATTATTTTGGGGGCCTCTATTCCCAGTCTCCTGCCACTTCTATTATTTATTTGTTTATTACCAGATCCTTCTTTCTGCTTGAACATCTTCCTTACAGTCTGGCAGGCAGAGCCGTCTCCCAGACAAACACCACAGCGATCCTCCGTGGCATTGGAATCGATCTCGTAGTCACAGCCAACCATCTGAAGGAAGAGAAGTCAGGATGAATAACACTGGCAGGAGACACAGAGCTGCCCAGACCTTTGACTTCTTTTCCCCTTTGGTTCTTCATAAGCCTGTGTAGCTTTGCAAGAGTACAAAGACAAATGCTTGTTTTCTTCTCCTGACGGAGGTCAGAGGAGGAACCAAATCATTTACCAGTGATAAAGCCAATGGTTAAGGAAGGACAGTCATCCCTCCATACCGACAGTAGATACCAAAATTTGCAGATGCCTAAGTCCTTTATATAAAAGGTATAGCATTTGCATAAACCTATGCATATCATGTACTTCAAATCATCTCTAGGTTACTCACAATATCTAATACAGTGTAAATACTATATAAAAAATTATTATACTGTATTGTTTAGGGAATAATAATAAGAAAAAAGTCTGTATGTTCAGTATTGCCACAGTCTTTTGTTTCCAAAAGTTCTCCATTTGAAGTGGGTCGATTCCATGAATATGGAATCTGTGGATACAGAAGGTGACCATCCTTGTTTAGAAGAGAGAGAGAGGCACACACAGAGTGCGGTCTCTAATTTTTCCTGGGTCAAAGGCAGAACTGAACACAGTTCCAAAAACCTAACTACAAAAATGCCTTGGAATTGGAGTCGGTGGAGCAGCGAGTCTTCACAAGTGCAAACCTTCCTTATACTCCCTCCTCTCCACCAAGGTTTCCCAGAGGTGATGTAACGACTCCATGTGTAACTTGGTTCTTTAAGGACAGTGGGTTAATCAGCCATCATCAGGAGGAACGTGGCTTAATGATGAGAAGATGCCAGTCCCAGGAGGGAGGAAATCATAGACTCATCATTAGACCCTCTGGATCTTCCCATGACCCCAGCTCCAGTGCACTTTAAACTTGGCCACAGCCAGCCATCCTGATCTCCCTCCCTCCAGCTGCAGAGGAGGAACAACCAGTTCTTCCTGGACCAAGATGAATTTTGTTTCTATGCTGTGGACACAATCCATTCTCAGTGTTCTGCCCAGCAGTCCTCCTGAACCATCATCATCTGACAGCCCTTTAGTCTGTCACCAGGGTTGAGTCTTTTTCATTTTGAAAAGCCCTGCCTACAGAAGGGGAGCAATGAAACCTGGGGTGTCCTGTAGCACAGGTTGCAAATAATCATGACACTCAGACGGAAAGTCATGAAGCACATGGGAGCATCAACTGAACTTCTCTGCTGCCTGCTTTCTTCCACAGCTGCATGCGCCGTAGCCCTTGATACATAATTGTGCCCCGGTAGATTCTTTTTCTTCTCAAGAATCATTTTTTTTTTCTAATTTTAAAGTCACCTCAATCTTCTGAAAGGGAGATTAGTCGGAGACTTCATACTCTCTACCAGCTAAACAGAATTAATGCCCACTGACAGAAAATAGCTCGATTCCTGAGGTTAACTATCTCTAATTTCCTGTAGGCACAAAGATTGTGCTGCTTGACCCAATCAGGGAAGAAAATAAAGTACTAAGAGATTTTTTTTAAATATCAAAACTTAATTATGCTAATCAAATGAAAAGGAAAAAAAAAATTCCAGACACATGCCTGGAGTGGTTAGAAGTAAAATGCCAGCCCTTCACCAGTGATAAGTTGATGTCAAGTTTGAGCATCCTCTAATAAGCTGACCTTTACAAATCATATTCCCAATGACTTTCATACCTTCCCTGACTTGGAGTGAGCCAGGGAAACTGACTCTGAGATATATTAATTTTAAAGTGTTTTCTTTAATCTCTACCAAGGAAGAATAGATTAAAACATAAAGAATAAAGGAAGTCATGCAAAAAGACAAAAAAATGAATATCCCATAGAATCCACATCTTTCTTTTCTCTCTCTTTTTCTTTTATTGGTTCTTTCTAGTGACGCATGTCAGTAGAATCCATTTTGACATGATTATACAAGCATGGAGTATATATATCTTGTTCTAAGACCCCAAGACCTCTCCTTCCTCTTTCCTCTATTGATCTTTCTGCCATTTGCCCTTAGCTATTTTTTTAAATTAATTTCTTGTGGATGTACATAATGGTGAGATTCACTATTGTGTATTTACATGTGTATACAGGAAAGTCATGTCAGGCTCATTCCACTGTCTTTCCTTTTCTCATCCCTCTTTCTTCCTTTCTCTATCTACTGCACTTAACCATGTCTTTCTCCCTGAGTTCCTCCAGCAATATTATCCTGCACAACTGGGAGGCAAGGGTTGGGGGAAGGAGCCATGCACATGTCCTCAACATGCTATGCCAATGCTTATTGAATGGATTCTGGTGGAAATTTCACCCAATTTGTTTTCCCAGTCCGCTGTGCCTAGTGCAACCAAAAGTGAATTAAGCATATAATGGAAGGTCTGTGAAGGTGTAAACCAGTTCTCCCTGTTGCATGTGAAACATTAGGAAATCTCAGGAGCAAAGAACTAGATTTCACTCTTCTCTTTCAGAGCATGCACTGGCAATAAGGCCACAACCGAATGGTCTTTCTGTCTTCTGTGGAGTTAGGGGTGGCTCTGCTGTTGCTGCTGCCAAATGTGAATAATGACTTCAGCTTAGCTCTTCTCTGATGTGACTCTGGGGATTGGACAGCCCCATAATGGGGAGTGGATAAGTTATATCAATTTCTTTGAATTCTCTCTCTCTGCTTAAGAGTCAATATTGTTTTGTTTTGCAATTCTCAAGGGATTGAACTGAAATAGCAACTAGCCCCATGAACTAATCCACCTGGAATGTCATCCTTTCTAAGTTCCTCAGCAAAGATAGATACTGGAAGGATGCCTAGTTCTATGGTGAGATTTATTCCCAGCCAATGAAACTTTTAAGTGTGAAAACAGGTCAGAACTATGCTTAGTTGGAAAAAACAGGTAAATGCCATTTAGTGAATGGAACAGTAGCATAAGGCTTTCTTCACCACATTTTTTTTTTCAAAGTTGGTACTTGTCCTAGATTAAACTGTGTCCTCCAAAAAGATATTTCAGAGTCCTTAGTACCTGTGAATGTGATCTTATTTGGAGACAGGATCTTTGCAGATATCATCAAATCAGGGTACTAATTGATTATCACTAGGAAGTCATACTCAATTAGATTAGGGTGATTCTAAATCAAATAACTGGTGTCCTTTAAAGAAAGAGATTTAGAGACAGAGACACACAGAGGGACTATGGCTATTGTAAAGACGAAGAAAGGTATAAACTGGAGTGAGGTAACTACAAGTTGGGAATGACAAAGATTGTCAGAAACCACCAGAAGCTAGGAAGATTTGAGGAAGGATGCTTCCCTAAAGCCTTCAGAGGGAAGAAGAGCCCTGTTGACAACTTGATTTCAGACTTCCAGCTTCCAGACTGGGAGAGACAAAACATTTCTTTTATGTCCCTCTATTTGTGGAAATTTGCTATGGCAGTCCTAGGGGACTAGCACCATGTTATTTTTCCCACTTAAGATGGGGAAACTCATTTAGAGAAGCACAGTGGTTCCCCCAAAGTCATATTCAAAACACCATGTCGTCTGCTTAGCTCCGATGAACTCCAGTTCCATGAAGGCAGCACCTGAACTCCTTAGTGTGGCATCCCAGTCCCCCATGGCACCCATTGGCTGCTCCCAGACACACTGGCCTAACCTAACCCTTCTGTGCCCCTCACACTGGATCTCTTTAAGGGGACATCCACCATCTTCTGTTAGTCAGTTTACACGGAATCTTCAAGTCCACTCTCAGGAGTCACCCCCACCAGGGACCTTCCCTGACCCATGCTGGTGGACGGGGCTGCTTAGGGCACCTGACTTGAGAACACTGGCTGAAGGCCTGCAGCCCATCTGCTTGGCTCCTTGCCAGAGTCTCCAACCAAACTGTCACCACTTACTCCTGGATGGCCAGTCTGATCTCTGTGTCCCTAGGGATTGAATTTGAGGTCAGGCTCCTTGGATGCTAGATTTCATCTTATGGTTGCAGTGGTTTGTTTCCTTCCAGGGAGGACAAAGACCTACTTTTGTGTCTGTAGCTTTTGGCTCTTAGCTAATTCAAACGCAAATTGAGATGCTGTTTGGGGGCAAGGAGGCAGGTGCATTCTGTATGGATTTCCCACAGGTGATCTGTTTATGAGGTGTCCCGAAGAAGCCATGGCATAAAGACTCGTGGAATTGGCCTAAGAGACTAAGCTTCTAATTTGAGGTCTTGCCTTCACCAGTCCTAAGCTAAAGATTTTATTCATTCATTCATTCATGGCTCATGAAAGGAGTAGCTAATCATGAGCCATGATTATCATGTTTAGGAGCTTAGACTTCGTGTAGGAGGCTCTTGATAACTGCCTGTGGATTTCAGGCAGAGTTGTAATAATTACAATTATGTCTCAGAAGGCATTTAGGCCAAAGTCTGAGAGGAGAGGTGGAGGGGTAGTTCAGTGGTAGACCACTTGCTTAGCATGAACAAGGCCCTGGGTTCAAACCTCAATAACACACACACACACACACACACACACACACACACACACCACACACACAAATATGAAAAGGGGAAAAGGAGAGCAGATTTCAGTGGGAATGAGGAATGATCTATAAATTTCATTTAGGAATGTTAAGACTGAAGTAACTCTTGGACTTTGAGGGGCAAGAGATTGGATTTGGCATTTGAGGTGTTCAGTGTATCACAAATGACCTGTTGTGCACAGCAGGCTGATGATAAGATTTAACAAGGGTGTGGCTGAGTGGATCCAGAACCAGGGGCATGGGGAAGGAGGTCAGTGTAAGGATAAGAGAAGTCTAGAAAGCAGATGATTTACAGACCAGGACATCTGGGCTGTTCACAGGGAAATGAAGGCCAGGATAAGCTGGCTGGGAGAAAAGAAGCTGAAGTCAAAGAAAGAAGGGAGAGAGCGGGAAGAGGAGCATGGGGCTTGAGACAGTAGGTAGTGCAGTGAGATTCAGAGCTGAGAGAGGGAGAGAGAGGGAGCATCTGCTCACATTTTTAAAAGTTTATTCCATGTAATACTTCTGATCATCACAGTAGATATTCTGAAAAAATCACAGTGTAAATTTATGCCTCTGATAAGCAAACTTTGGAGTTGGGGGCATGTTAAAATAAACTGGAGTAGGAGGAGGACAGTTAGTTACTTTCAGAACAGATTCAGTTCTATTCAGGTCTTGGTAAATTAACTTTATAGTAGAATCTGAAAATCTGATATGCCAACATGTTGGCAAATACCATAATTTCAACATAGACAGTTGAATACATTAATATATGCAAACACTTTTTCATGTTAATGAAGAAGATGGGTTAAACATTACATACATTTTTTTTCTGAAGACATATCTTTTTTTTTTTTAATTTCAATATATGTTCAATTCCTCTCAAGGAAAAAAAAACCCTGAAATAAATGAACAAAGAGACTAACAAGGCTGAAAATTCCTACAACCTGGATATTGGGAAGATAAACTATATCTATATGATTAAGTATATTTGATTTGACATCATTTTGGGGATTTAAACACTTAACTCTGTGTAATACAGACAGAAACTGGGCAGTTTTAGCTTATATAATGATTTAACTGGCTCCAAGTAAAAGGAAGGCAAACTGAAAGAATCTGCCTTAGTTTATTAAATTCAATTAATTGGTTTTAATAGAGATTAAGGATTAATGTGGTTGCATACATTAATGTATTCCGCCATCTGTATTGAAATTATGGTACATGCCAACATGTTGGCATGTCAGATTTTCAGATTCTACTATAAAGGAAATTTACCAAGACCTAATTAGAACTGAATCTGTTCTGGAAGTAACTAGCTATCCTCCTCTCTCCAATTTATTTTAACCCCACCCTATATTTTGTTCAAAGCATTGGTTTTTCTAATGCAAGCTAAAAATGCTGTCTCTATACACATGCAAAATTACTTAGATCTAAAAGATAATTTTAGCATCACTTTAATTTCTCAGTATCTATAGTTTTCATCCGTAGCTGGATATGCTACTCACTTGGGGACATTTTAAAATATCTATGTCTGGACCCCAAGTCCCAGAGATTCTGAATTAATAGCTTTGACATGGAGCTTAGAAATTAGTAATTTTTAAAAGCTTCCCAGGTGATTCTAAGATATAACCAGAATCGAGAGCCACTGCTTTAGACAGGGTGGGGCAACTTGTGGTTAAATTATCTGATAATCCTCTTCTCTCACTCTCTGAAATAGACCTAATTCAAATATATTAATTTGGGGTCTTAGCAGCTACAATGGTGTTAGTTGGTTTAAAAGAAAACTTCACCTGAGCCTTTCAAATCTGGAGTCTGCTTACAGCTTGCTCTCAGCTCTCCCATGCCTGTTCCCAGGCTTTATCATCTTGCCTCTTATGTTTTGGTCACCATGCTAGTGAACGAAAAAGCACCTTCGAGGAGATAAATGCTTATTCCCAGGGTGATGGAGATTTGGGGGTAAGAGGTTTTCACAGGGTCCATTTTCTCCAGTAGAAAAAAATTATGATAAATTTTTGCCAAAACAAAATGTACTGAATTTATTGTATGCTAGGTTGTCTGTTAAGGTGTTAACCTATATAATCTTATTTACCCTTTTTGACAATTCCTGTAAAGTAGATACATTAATAGCCCAATTTTATCACAGAAAACTGAGTTTTAGAAAGATGTACAGGGTTGCACAACTGATAAAATGATGGTGTTGAGTTCCTAGTCTAGTACTCCAGTGCTAAACCATTATGGTTTATTTAACAGTTAATTAGGTAACTGTTCTTTTAATGAATTAAAAGGTAACTTCTCTTTAAACTGAGATTTATGTTTGGGTATTGGATCACAAGATTTGTTGCTTTATTCCTTGTAGCCAAAACAATTTGCAAGCAATGACAAAGAATCCTTTAATGGTTTTATACTCAAAAGCATTAACAAACCAGGTCTAAAGAATTTATAAAAAGATGGAGTTGATTTATGGTGTGGGTGTGGAAAAAATTACATAGAATCAAAAGCCTGGATTACAACTACACATTATACGATCTCTCTGAGAAATTCATGTTGACAATAAATGAAGAATTAAATGTTAATATGCTGTATGAAAAGCACTACACAAATGATTAATAATTTCATTTTTCCCTCAAATTTAATGCTCCTGAAATAAGCCATGCTGCCTTTTCTTAATAATTCCTCTTTTAATTTGGTTCTTCCACTTGGCTCTACTCAAAACTTAAAATAGTACCAGAGTGAAGATCAACAACTCAAGAAATAAAAGGGATAGCAGAAGGGAAAACTGCTCAGGTCGAAACTTGACTATAACTGGGTTTGGTGGCGCACGCCTGTAATCCCAAGGGTTCAGGAGGCTAAGACAGGAGGACTGCAAGTTCAAATCCAGCCTCAGCAAAAGTGAGGCACTAAGCAGCTCAGTGAGACCCTGTCTCTACATTTAAAAAAGTACAAAACAAAGACCGGGATGTGGCTCAGTGTTCGAGTGCCCCTGAATTCAATCCCTGATACAAAAACAAAAACAAAAAAACTTGACAGTAGTGAACACCAGGAAGTCTGTCTTCTTGTGCTTCAGACCATATATAAAAACCTGACCACATGCAAGTGCCACAAAAATGTAAGCTTAGAATGTGTAACTTTCTGAATTCAAAAGATCATGATTTTATAAAGTTGTAGATGAAGGAAACATACCCAATACCTTACATATGCCATTAATACAGACATTTCTGCTGTTGCCACCTTCAAAGCAAGGGGTACCATCAATGACAGCATCCAGCATTCTCTCAGAAAACTGGCCATCTATGGGTCGGCAGTAGAGCTCACAAGGACGGGCTAAAGTGAGAGAAAGATTAGGTTAGCCTTGTAGTCTGGCATCCTTCCCCCAGGAAATAAAAACTGCAAAAATCATACAAACATAACTAAGAGCAAATGCTCTGAACACTGAGACTCTGGATGAACTTGAGGTTACACACATGTGTTAAAGCACAAAACAAATAATGAATGCCAACCAATTTTATATAATGTGCAGTGAATTGGTTGTCTGAGAAGGTGGGTGAAGTCAAAATGTGTTTGAAGAGACCATTGGACAAAGTGCCAGGGCAAAGGGCCAAAAGACTCTGAGAATAAATTGGAGCACTTCTTTCGTGACAGTGTGATGAGTTTGACACTGCTAAAACTAAACACCTACATGGAGTCACCAGGGAGCAATTCTTCTTCCAGCAATGAGACCATCCATCGAGTGTTGAATCCAAGGAATTATTTCATTAAAACTTTGATATACGCTTCAGAATTCAGATTTAGGAAAGCAGTCTGAATAATTCTGGAGCTTTTCTTTAAAAATTTATCCATTTCAAAACTGCTGGGAAGGGCCAGGACTAGGGGGCACTTATACAAAATTTAAGAAGGCACTTGTTCTCAAGAGTGATTATAATTGGATTTTCCGTCCATGCCAGGTACTGCACTGAATTCCAGAATGATGAAGTTCCCATGTTTGTCTCAGTTTCATGAATTAGTATTGTTTGACCTATTCCCCAAAGTATAAAACTATCCAGAGACTTCAGCTAGTTTTGTTATTACAGTGAATTCAAAGGAATTTGCTTGGTAAAATATAGCCAATATATTATTTGAACATTGTTTCCCAGGTTTTGTTTTGCTTGACAGTGATTATCTCACTTTAAGAATCACAACTGTCCTATGCAGTTAGTTATTTTTTTTACCTATTTCATAGGTGAGAAAGTTTAGCCATAGATACTAAAATCTTCCCAAGCTCTCCCAGTATGAGTGGCAGAGTAAACCACCATGGTGCTTTGTTTCAGATCCCACACTACAAACCCCTAGTGTACAGACACAACATTTTCTTTAACAACAACAGAAAAATGTCTTTGATGAGATCATTAAACTGACCACTTTCCACCTCATTAGGCAATGCTGAATCACAACACCAATACAAAAGGAAACTGGGTAGCACACTGACTGGATAGCTCTGCTTTAATTCAGAGTATATTTTCTCATGGGGGAAAATACTAGATGCTGAAGTATTCACTTCTACAGAAACAGATTTAAACATTTTAGTTCATGACTATCCCTTGAAGAAGTGACTTTATCTTTCTATGACTCAGTTTCCTCATCTAAAAAAACAAATAATAATATCCGCCTTGGAGGTAAATTGTGAGAAATGAGACAGATGTTGTATGTCAAGCACTCAGCATTATGCTATATAGAGTAAGTGATCAATAAATGGCAGCTTTGGTTTTACTTGTGCATCATTAACTGAAGGAATTCTAAAGGTAGCCTTGGCATTCTGTGCCTCTGTCTTTCCATCTTCCCAAATAGTCAACAGACTTGTAACCCTGGCTTAATTGTTACTCCAGCCAAAACAGAAACAAAAGAACTTCCCGAAATACTCTCTTTCCCTTCAGATTATTCCATTATGTCTTTATTAATTAATTCAGCATTAAATTCATACTTTGTTTTACTGTCCTCTAACTAACTGGCATCGTGTCCGTTTATCATAAAGAATTCGAGGTCTTGCTCTGATAGTAGATGGGTCCATAACTTTCTTTTACTATGACTATAGACCTCATTCAAAGGTGTTCCAGTTGTACAATATCTACTGTAGTCCTCTCAGGGCTGCAATTCCAAGACTTCAATTTTACAAACTCCTCAATCATACTGTAATGTCCTCAAGGACACTCAAGTCATTTGAGCATTGATTAGCTACTACCAAACAGCACAGTCTGAGAAGGAAGAGTCATAACAGGATGGTGAGGACTCAAAAGCTCAGTAGAGGCAGGAAAAAGCACAGAAATTTTTCTCAGAGTGTTGGAGTTAGATACAGAGAAATACAAATCCATCCCTGACTATTAAACCTTGCCCAAGACTCCCAAGTCTCTAAACTGTGCAAGGGACTGTTGGAAGGCGTGTGGCTGTTACCATTCACCTCTCCCAGTGATTACTAGCAGAATATTACTCTTAGAGGAGGCTCTTAGTTCATCTTTATGAATTAATTGAGGTGACAATGATCAACACTGATAGGGAGAGAATTCTGGATCAAGCAGCAGAGGGATTTTTAAATTTTGAGAGATTATCAACTCAGGCAGTCAAAAAATGAGCATTAACCTTAGTGATAGAGGTCAAGGACATTCATGGTGACAATGAAATGCTTATCTGGACACAAGTGGACAAATAAATTAATAAAATTCTCTGTGGGCCCTGAAGGCAGTGAGACAAACCCAGTGCCAGGATCTTGCTCAGAGAGGCAAGAAAGATGCAAAATCAGCAAAGAAGATTTTATTCTTATGCAAAAACCTGACCTTAACAATAGTAACCTCTGAAGAATAGGTGAAGTATGGTGGGACAGTAAGAATTCACTTTTACTTTATTCTATTATGTATGTTTGCATTTTTATAAGACATATATATTCATTTTAAGCATACTGCTGAAGCTCTCAAGCAAGAAAACTAAATAGTCTCCTTTCTGTGATAATGATGACACTTTTTCATAAAGAGAGTCCCACCCTCCACCCTGTTTCTCAAGTATGGGACTAGTACCTCCTTCAAGGCTAACCAGGTTGAAAAAAGCTGCACATAAGAAACAAAAATGTCAGTTGCATCTAAGTGCAGCGGCCTATGGAATCCTGGAACTATCTGGTAATAATCCCCAGCTGACTGCCTCACAGCCCAGCTGTGCCTAAGGCCAGAGAGAGCCTTATGCTTAAATGAGGCATTGCAAATGGAAGGTTCAGGGCTACTTAAACATTTTGTAAGGTTGCCTGTCCTGCTACGCCAACCCCTCCTCTGGCCTCTTTCTTTCATGGTGTTGTGAGGAAACTGCAGATATTGTTACGTTGGCCTGTGACGCAGGGTTCTGCAAAAGGAGGTAAGGGTGGCATTTAATTCTCAGTGATCATCATGAGCATCAGAGATTGTGTCTCAAAAGTCAACCTCATAGAATCGAGCATTTCTATAGCTTTGATTATTTTCACTGTCCTCACATTGTTTACCTGACATTCTTTTGTCTGAGCCATGAGGGTTTTTTGTCCCTCTGGGTTTCAAGAGCTTTCACGTCCATTTATAATTAGGTAAAGTGAAAGCACTAAAATCAATTTACTGGTAAACTCTCACCCTCATCCTGTAATTAATCCTTTCAAAGGAAGCTCAGGAAACTGCATGAACTTAATCAAAGGTTTCATTTTCAATTCTGCGGAAACAAGATAGTTCAATATTTTAAAATTAAGAAATGGTCATTAGAAGCAAAAAAATCAAACTTACTAAAGTGTATAAAAATATTTGTTTAGTTAAGGAAGAGTTTTGATGCATTTCATGTGTGTTGGTCAAGGTGGTAGTAGGTACTCTTTGTTAGTAGGTAAGTCACCGCACCTGACAATAGCACAGGAGCTGTACGGAAATCACCAGGATAGAGGATGGCTGTTTATACCCTAGAGAGACAGTGAACTCAGCAGAGAGCAAATTAAACCAATCAATCAATCAATCATCCCAAAATGAATGAAGCAGACGTTTACCCTTATGCCTATCATTGCTTAGACAGCTATACTAGACAAATAGATAGGCACATAACAAAACTTGTAAATAAATGAAAAGCAAAGCTGAATGAATTTTTTTCATTCTAAGTCCAGTTATACTTGAGCCATCAGTTAAGATCACACAAGTTCAACCTTATATTTGTGGTAGGGAAAGACCAAGAATAAGGACCTGTTATACCACGGGGCGGGGGGGAGGTTATCTATTTTAGTCATGGAAGGCTACTTATTCAGGGTCCCTAAAACCATTAATCCAAATGCTCTGCTTTGATTCAACAAAATAGAGAATGTGTAAGATACAGGAATAGATAGTACCAACTGAATGCACCTTTCATCATTAGCCTGAAATCTACATGAATACACAAATGAGTTTCCTGTATTCAGATGCCTGGACAAGGAAGTTCAACTCTACCAATAACCAAATGCTGACGGCCACAGAACATCAATGATGCTAAACAGTTAGGGATAAGGAGTAGCTGTTGCCCTTGACAACAATTAGCCATCAGGGTATTTGGGTGACTCATCATGGGCAAAGCGCCACAGAGTCTTCCTAAAGTTACTGACAACATCCTTGTGTTAACAGGCCAAGATGTTATTCTCTAATCTATGATTCTTATGTCTTATCACAAGACTTTCAGGAGTTAAAAGTCATGAAAAATTTAAGTAGTTAATTTTAACCACTTTGCCTGGAATCTCCCTAGCCTCCAAAAGCCTTTTTGTTTCCCACTCAAATCACAACAAAGAGCACTGATAAGATGCCTTCTGATGTAAATCTATAGCTAATCATCATTAATCCTGGTTCATTTTCAGGAAAGAATGGGCAATGGTTCTCACTGGAAGTTTTGCCAAAGCTGCTGTTGTGTTCTCCAACTTGATTCTCCCCATTTCCTGATGTGCATCCTTTAGACATTTGATTTTGCTTTTGACCCTTTTCATACTGCTCTGTGCCTATGAAGCGTTGGTTTCTGGCCCAAGGCTGGGTCTCTCTCATTTCTAATGAAGCCATTCCTGTTACCTTGCCTTTCTTTGTGCTAGTCTCTTCCCATTTCGAATGATTCTATTTTGAATGCCTTCCCTTTTTATTTTTTCAGTAGAAAAATTACTCATGCTAAGAATCATCGACTATTTCCTTGGGAGCCTTCTTTGAAAATACTCCAAACCCACAATGACCTTGTGTTCTGAATTTCTGCTGAAACTACAGTCAGTTTCACATGCCCGTCAATAAGCAATTAGTAGCTGAATGCCCACGTGACCCATGTAGGTGCTCCAATGCACCTCAGCTCTTTTGAAGCGAGTCACTGTGTTTGACAAATGTCTTATTCATCTCCCACAGAGCAGAATTGGACATATACTGAGCCTTTAACATTTACTGATCAATTTCACCAGGTCAGTGTTTCTTCCAAAACACAAAACTCCTGATGGTACATATCCCTTTGTTCAACTTAGAGAAAATGTGAAATAGAAATGTGGCCTAAGATTTGAGATATACTGTTACAGTTTCTTACCTGAATTAAAAACTGGAAACCAGTGGTAGAATTCATTCTTGTAGGGAACGGTGTCAAATTCACTGCATTGCATCTGCCGAAATGTTGGTGCATCTGGGCGACAGGGGTGGACGTTGCACAAGCGATATCGCTTTCTTTCTCCAGTGCAGTATTTTCCTCCAAACTTTGGTCTACAAGTGAAGCAGACAGCTGTCCTTTTAATTTCCCAAAAGGCCAATATTATCCTTTAAAAAAAAAATTCCCTGCCATCTGACCATACTTGTTCTTGGCCAAACTATTTCTCTTTGTGCCCTAAAAACTCACCTTTTAAAACCCTTCCAAGTTGTGTTTATGTGTGTGTTGCATTCTATGCTATATACACAGCACTTTAGTGCTATGTGTATAGTTGCCTACTTTGCAATACTTTTTCAACTGTTTACCCCCAGGGGAAAATATATGCTGCAAAAGGATACATCATTTTCTTTCCAAAATCTGATCCTTCTCTATTTCCTATTTAGAAAGTTAGCAGTGGTCAGAGTATTCAGAATCTTTCAACTGTTGCCTTCCTAGGACAATAGTCAATCAATTGTTTGGGAATCAATTGTATTTATATTTGCTACCTCTTCCTGAATCCTAGTTACCAAACCAGCTGGAATCTTATCTCCATTTATGTCTTCCCTTTCCTCACTTTCTCCTCATTCAATCCACGGTACACACTATTATCTGAAGACAATTTTAGAGCACCTTAATTATCCTAGCTTCCTGTTCAAAAAGCATTCAGTGGACCTTATAGCCTCAGAATCAATTCCAATCTTTTGAGCTTGATTATCCAGGCCCTTAAGAACCTGCCTCAACTCTATTTAACAACTTTATTTCCTACACTGCTCCAATGGTACAAGCTGTCTTATTTATTATTTTTTTCCTGTGCCTCTGGATAGAATTCCTTTATCTTAAGTCTTTCCATGTCGACATCCTTTCCATTTTTTAGGGACAAATTAAAGGTCACCTCCATCATAAATCCTTCCTGAATTCCAACCAGAAGTAATTTCTGTCTCTTCTCTTCAGTGACACTTCATGTACCAACTGTATGCACTTCCTTAACTTATACCTAAAGATATATTTTTTTAAAATTACTAAACCTAAGTTCTATGTACTGTATCTAAACAGTACCTTGAGCATAGCTGAGTTTTTAATAAGCATTCAATAAATGAATTCATTACTCTTACTTTAGAATACATTCTCAATTTTTAAATTTCCTTTTCAATACACTTAAGCATGACAATCTCTCTACTAGGATCACTCAAAAGAGAAGAAGGGGGGAATATCATGGAATTGCTTCCAAAGAACTGGAAGAACCTTGTATCCTTCCAGAAGACTCCAAGGTGATCCACATATACCTTTTTGCCTCCAGGTTGCAGCATCCGAATGAGGAATTGTGTATTGCCTATTGTGTGCAGCAAAATAGGGCCAACAGCCTGGAGTTGGAATCTGGCTTTACCTTTTAGTAGTTAGATGATCCTCAACAAGTTATTTTACATCTCTGAACCAGTTTTTTTTATATAAATTTGTGAAATGAGCATGAAATTTTATAACTCATGAGTTGAAAGGACTGAATGAGACAATACACATAAAGTTATTCTAATAAAGCAACTCTTGTCACAAAGTAAGAACTCAGTAAACGATAGCATTTTTCGGTTATTGTGAATAATAATCTATCAGTATTTATATCCTACTATGTGCTCAACATCATGCTGGGGGACAAGAGGGCAGGAAAGAGGACCAAGCCATGTTCTATGCTTCCTGGAAATTTATAATTTTGTTAAGAAAAAAATAACCTAAGAAGTGAGATAATTTAAGGTAGCAACAATGTATCCCTGACTATGAGTATGGTGGGGTTTTTAGAAGAGAGATCGAGCCATGGAAAGAGAGAGGGAGCCATGGAAAGAGAGAGAGCCATGGAAGTTAAGGCTGGTTGGAAAGTATTAATGAAAGGAGTGTTTCTGAAGATATTCTCAGGACAAAGGCAGTTCAGATGACATCATGATAAAAGCACATAAAAGTAGGACATCTTCCCAAGTGTCCAGTGTAGTGGCAGAGTCAGGATTTGGATCCTTGTTTGATTTAATCCATAGCCCATGCTCTTATCATGGTCCTGTACAGGTTGACCATGCGGGGCAGAGGTCTGGCTGACTCTCAAGTTCTCACTGTGGTGATAATTCTTATGTGGCTCTGCTGTACTTGGCTCTTTTGAATGTTCATGAGATTTTCTATACTGCTCTCCCCACTTTTCTTTTTTTTTTTAACTTTATTTTATTTATTTATATTTATGTGGTGCTGAGGATGGAACCCAGGGCCTTGCATGTGCGAGGCGAGCGGTCTACCACTGAGCCACAACCCCAGCCCCCCACTTTTCTTAGTGTGACTTAATCTGTTCCTTACACATACTTAGTTTTTGTCCTCATTCATAAACAATGGTCTGTAGGCCATTTTAGGCAATAAGGAAATGAGAGGCACACCCATTTCTCAATGCTGAGATTGTCATCCTTATGTGTGGGGGAATATCTATCCATCACTTGTTAACCTCCAGTAGGGTAACTGGACCCCACTGCAGATGGAACAAGACATGGTGACAAGAAAATGAGGTGTCAGGCTGTATCGGAAGGAAGGAAGGAAGAAAGGAAGGAAGAAAGGAAGGAAGGAAGGAAGGAAGGAAGGAAGGAAGGAAGGAAGGAAGGAAGGAAGGAAGGAAGGAGAGTGAGGCTTGGAGTTTAAATACATGAAAAATCAAGCAATTCAATTAAAAAAAATGAAACTGCTGGTGAAGTAATTTCTATGGAATCCTTAACAGGCTCCTATAAAGTTTATAATATATTTTCATAAAATAATTCACAATGTGCTTACCTAGTTTATTAGTTACCTAAGGGAAAAATAATATTTTCATAAAACTTACGTTCTTTATGATTGAAAGTGGCTACGATCCTACCATGAATATTATGTATAACTAATCTCTTACTGATAGAGTGGAGTTATCTGGAAGGATTTAATTGCATAATTTCCTAGAGTATGCCACATAGGTTGTGCCTTGAAAAGAAATTTGCTTTATTTCTCCAAATGATGGAATCAGCTGACTTATCTAAGTGTTATTGAGAATCAACTGCCAAGCCCAAACAAAACAGAATCACTCTTTTTTCACCCTCTGTGAATCTTCAGGCTCTCTTCGTCTTTGGGAACCCATTTAATTTCCCAAGGAGGCTTGGGGTCACTGAAGTCCTGCCATTCGACACTGGCCTCTCAGTGCTTGAGGAAGGCAGGGAAGGAGGTGGATCTGGCCAGGCTTACTCAGGGTTGTTGCAGAGCCTTTCTGCACTCTGGGCTCCAGCCCCACAGGTTCTGGAACAGTGGGACCAGGGTGACCAGCGGCCCCAGCCTCCAGGGATGCTCTCTGGTTTCTTCCCCACTGTGATGCACTTGCCCGCCATGCACCACTGCAAAGGGAAGAGACAAGAGATGCAAATGTCAGGAAGGATCTTAGCAAGCCAAGCCCAGAACCCTAGAAGTCTACACCCACGTCTACACCCAATCCTCCCAGAGCAAGTAGGCTTTCTGCAGTCACACTTAAGATAGCAAACAAAGAAGGGCTTATAAAAGAGTTTTCCCAGACTCTTGGTTTTCAAAACCAGTTTCAGGAATGGAAGGGAACTGTGTGGTGCCTTTCAGAGTCACTGCAGCGGTGCTACTCAAAGTCTGGTTGGCCGATTGCATGCTAGAATGTAAACCAACATACCACTTCCTCTATGCATCATGTCAATTAGTATGCTAATGACATAGCTGTTGATTAACTTTCTGGTGCAGGTCCTAACAGTTCATGTCTGGCATTAGAGTAGCACTTTGTTACAGATTCTGTGAGTATTTATGCCTGCAGCAGAACACTCCCCAGCATAAAAGTTCACTTCATTTCCCAAAACACAAGTTGTAGGAAGTAATTTCTTAGATCAAGGGGGAAAATAGCTGCTTTTTTTTTTTTTTCCTAGCCATTGTTTGCAATTCTAACCTTTCAAGTGACTCAGAAAATATCTACTCTCTCCCTCGTCAACACAATCTTCCCACAACTCTCAGTTTAGGAGAGTGAACACGTACAAATTAAAACAAAAGGAAGTGCAGCTTGGTTGTTAGAAATGGTCATATTTTTGAAGGATGGAGGCATGTTCTATATGCTGGACTCTTTTTCCCTCATTCTTTCTGATCACTGTGTATTTCAACCAGGTTCTATTTATCTCAGTGATGGGTCGTGCCACACTCAGGCTGCATGAAAGCTAAACTCCTAAGCCCTAAACCCATATCAGATCCAAGTGGTTAACTTGTGCAGCAGGAATTATCCTGTTCTCAGGCAGCCTGGAGAATAGCTAATGATTTCTGAGTTCCTGGATATATGACCTTCCTGCCTAGTAAAGTGGGCAGAACTTCAGGAAAAAATAGTCATTTTAGATAATGTGAAAGAAGATCATAAGTGGACAAAATCTGACATTTTTTTGGAAAGAAAAATCCACTGGGCTGTCCTTTCCAATCTTCCATATGGAGGGGGAAAATGTCAAAACAAAAGAATGGTTGATAATAGGTTCAGCAGATGCTGTTGTCCAAATCCAGAGGTTTATCAGGGAAAGAAGGGACAGAACCCTTTCCTCTGGCTGGTCTATGTGACCTTCATTCACTGTCCTTCACCCAGAGAGAGCCTCACCCTCTCCAGGCCCTTCTCCCCAGCTTTCTGCAAGAACTCAGGGCCCACTGCCCCCCCCCCCACTTTCCATCCTCAGCCTCACACGTCACCTTCTTCTCACCACATCTTGTCCCATCTGCAGCAGCATCCAGTTTAGAGCGACAAAAGCCTTTTACTGAGCACCACAGCGTCTGACAAACGTTCTGGAAAACAAACGTGAGACTGAGCTTTTTTGGTATGTTCAAAATCTACACAACAGCATTTCTACATTTATGGCAAAATACACGCACTCACAATAAATGCCACTGTGGCTAGTGGATAAGAATCAATAAAGCAATCATTAGAGTCTCAGTTCAAACTGTACTTAGTTTTGCCATGGTCTGCAGACCGCACTAGGCAATATCAAAATGAGAGGTAGAGCCCATTTCTTCAGAGTTGAGACTATTATTCTCTATGTGTGGGACAATATCTAGTACTCATTACCTTGGGCAGGGTAACTGATGATCTCATTTATTACAGGCAAATCCAAGTTTTGGCAGCTGGAGTGGTTATAATTTGAGCCACTCAAGGAAAGTAATTTACTTATTACCCAAAAGGATCAGCCTGTTTTAGCTTCTAGGGAGGGAACTACATGTTCTCTGTCATTTCTACTCTTGTGAGAATGACAGAAGATTGACAGGTGGCTTAAATGTTATCGAAAATGGTTCAGCTACTTCCCATCTCCCATCATTCTATTCACTTTTGTAATCTACATTGAATTGTTCTTCTTCAACATAAGATTTTAGACTTTAAACAATTTCAGAAAATTCTCAATGTTCATCTGCCCCAATTTTGCCTCTCCTCCTGGAATCCATAGTTGTTGTTAATAAAGTTTCCTATTCTGACCTTCTTGTTTCAACTTGATCTTCCTATTTTCTATCTCTTGATTTTATTGTATTCAAAATTTGAAGAACTTTTCTCTCCCATCACTTGCCTCTGAGAAACACTCAAGCAGGATGGGAAGTAATTTTCACAGCTTTGAATTTCAGATAGCCGATTTTCTCTTCAGCTGCCTCAAGCCTGCTGTTTAATCCTATTATTGAATTTTAAAAATAATGACTGTATTTTTCACTTCCAAAAGTTATATTTTTTTCTTCATTTCTGCCTTAAATATATCTTTCAAACACAATTAATTGTTCTTTTATATATTTACTTTATCATTCTTACTTTCAATTAAAATCTGGAAAGTTATTGTAAGTTTATTGCTTTACTTCACTTCTAGTTTTTTTTCCCTCTCTGAGGATTTCTGTTCTTACTTGTAACTTTATTTTGCATTTATAAAATATGATGTGTTGGGTAAAAGGTACACAGAAACTCTGTACAGTTTTGAAATATTTTTGGAGTTTAAATTGTTTCAAAATGAAAAATTATAATAAAGAAGGATGCTGCTACATTTTGTATTTCAGGCCTTTTAATAAAGTAAATGATTTATTGGCTGTAACATACAGGGATATGAAGTCTTTATTCATTTACCTATTGAGTGGCTACTATGTGTACTGCTGAGTAAATAAAAATTTCCTCAGAAAGCTTATAATGGAGGAGGGTAGAGATAAGTAAACAAGAAACTACCATATAATCTTAAAAAGGACTTTGTCACAGAATAGGATATGAAGTGATATTTAAAATGAAACCTGAATGACAAGTAGGAATGATAAAGCAGAGGAATCACCATGTGAAAAATTCGGGTAGTTAAGGAGAACCCAGGGCTCTCAAGGAGTGAAGGTAGTTCTGTAGGATGAACATACAGTTTAAGGAGGACTTGACCAGAAAGAGCTGGAGTGGTGTTTTCTCAATGCTTAACAGCTGAAAATCCCTTACATCTATAAAACCTCTAAAACCATGGATAAACTATTTAAAAAAAGTTTTAAGTTTATCCTTAAGTTGTCAAGAAAGTAAGGCTAAAAATTACCAAAAATATTAATCTAGACATGGAAATTAAGTCATCTAGATTTTAGGTTTACAGGGCAATGCTTAGGAGGGGCGGTTGGAGATATTTATTACTGGAGACCTCCATATAAGGCCAGAACCCTAAAAGAATGGCTCTTAAGTGAAAGGGTGAACTAAATATATTTGGGTACAAATGCCTGCTTTGACTTTCAGCTTCAGGCATGGTAAATTATTACTCCTGAGAGTTTATGTCCATACTAGTCCTCATGCTGCCCACATAGTCAAAACAAAACAAAAACCAAACTAATAATTTATTATAAACTGACCCAGCAATGGTCAATTCTCTTAGAATGTGCCAACATTCTAAGGCCTGAAGAAAAATCCAATGTGAAATTTCATAACCAACATCTTATAATAAAAGTAAAAATCACACAAGGAAATAATATGTAACTGAGAGCTGGAAGGAACCCTACCAATACAGAGTCACATAAGACCCAGACTACTAGAATTATCCAGCATAAATTATGAAATAAGTGAGTGATATATGCTTAAAGCAATAAAAGATCACATTAAAAATTTGAATCAGGATTAAGAGATCATAAAATGACAGAAAATAGATTGTTAGAAGTAAAAAAATATAATAAATGAGATTAAAACACAAATGCACAGGTTAAATAGAAGACATATCTGAAGAGAGAACTGGTAATTTGGAAGACAAAAATAAAGACAGATGTATAAAAAATGGCAAATAGCCAGGCGTGGGGGTGCACATCCTGTAATCCCAGCAGCTTGGGTGGCTGAGGAAGGAGGATCATCAGTTCAAAGCCAGCTTCAGCAATGATGAGCTACTAAGCAACTCAGTGAGACCCTATCTCCAATAAAATACAAAATAGGGCTGGGGATGTGGCTCAGTGGTTGAATGCCCCTGAGCTCAATACCTGGTACCCCTACCTCCCTCCAAAAAAAAAAAAAGATGGCACAAATAAGGACAGTTTCTAAAATATGAAAGATCAGTGAAGAAGTCTAATGTACACACAATCAGAGTATTTATTGGTTTAAAGAACATAAGATTAAAAAAATATTTTAAGAGTAAGTCCAGATATTAAGAGAACAAAATCCTGAGCATATTTTATAGCCAATTTAAGGAATTTGAACTTTAAGAGAATGGGAAAGCTGTCAAGTATTTTAATCAGAAGGGAAAACATGCAGATTTCCATTTATAAAGTTGGTTTAGCTATATTTGGGTGGGTGGAAGAAAGCAGAGGGGAGGTAATTGGTTTTAGGGAGGAGACCAATAGATTAACCACTATAGATATAGGACTGGATGGATTTTAGAGATATTTACAACTGGAGTCACTTGGTAACTAGTCAGATGAAAGGGTGCACCAACTTTACCTTCTCTGTTAAGCTGTCTTCTCATCTGTGTCTCAATATCTGTACTTTTGCAAGAGAAGGGTGAGTTCACAGAACAGGCAGGCTCCAAATGATAGAAGAGTGCCACACATGGAGGTAGGATTTCACCCTGGGGCCCACAGGAGCCTCAGAACCAAGTCGGCCATGGTTCTATATATGGGTTTTAAAAATTATTAATTATTATTATCATTATTTTATGGTACTGGGAATTGAATCCAGGTGTATTCTACCACAATCAACCCTTTTTGTTTCTTATTCTGAGACAGGGTCTTGCTAAGGTGCCCAGGATGGCCTCCAACTTTCAATCCTCTTGCCTCAGTCTCCCAGATGGCTGGGATTATAAGCATGTAACACCATGCCTGGCTAGATTTGTGTATTTTTAAAGCAACCAGAGGAACAATTTGAATGGGAGAGAGACTAGGTAGGAGTTATAATAGTGAGGAAAGATAATGAAAGATTGAATCAGTAGCTGGGGTAATCAAGAACTATTTAGAAGGTGAGATATCAAGGCTTGACTTAATATTGAAAATAAAGGAGAAGAATGTATTGGGGATGAATTGGGGATGAATCATACTCCTATCTTGGACAACTTTAGGTATTATGTTGGTTGCTATGAAGTCTGTAGGCATGAATCACTGTGAATCCTGAAAATCACCATGAAACTGTCTCAACCACCATCTGGTTGCAAAAATTGTAGATTCCAGAATTCCAAAGAGGCAGGATCAAGGAATATAAATGACCACAGATTTAATTCTTCTGCCTTTTATGAACATAGGTATATTTATACCTTGCCATAAATATAAAGCTTCTCTTTCTGGATCTTCCAATTTCCAAATATTTCCCTGGCCCTTTCTTCAGCATGCTGGAGATTTCACATACCCATGAGGTGCACCAAGATACCCAATACTTACTTCAACTTCCTGGCAGAAGGTAGCATTGGGACCATACTGGAGCTGGCATTGGTGATGGACATCATAGATCACGCCAGGGGCAATGACCTTGGACTTCAAGCCTTTCTTTTGGGGAATGTCATCAAGACAGAACCCCCAGCCTCGGCTGCAAACAAGTTAACAGAAATGAGAGCAAATGGTTCATGTATTCCCTTCAGTGTTTCATTCAATAAAAACTTCCATTCTTCTAGTTCACTCTTTGTCCTTCAAGACAACTTTATTTTTACGTGCCAGAGAACCCTCTGGACCTAAGAAGGGACTTAGTAAAAGGAAATGCAACTCATACCCCATACCACGTTTAGGAAATAAAAGAAGTGGGAAAATTGGAAAATCATCATCTTACCCCCAAGAGGGTTTGGCTAAACACTCCTGGTCCTGATTGTTCCTGCCAGTTCCCCAAATTTAATCCTCAGTCCTATCACAAAAAGCCAACTTGGGGCAGGGGCAGCCAGGAAGGGCAGGATGCAGGGCACAGCTCTAAATCTCAGGGTCAGAAAGCAGATGTGGACTCCATCCCTGTGGTGCTGCCCTGACACTGTGGTCTGGGATGGAAACAAGTGTTTCTCGGGAAGCAGCTCCGCTGTGGAAAATTCAATGCACCCCCCACCTTAAAGAAACCCAAGTGAGGCTGACATAAGATGTACTGCCACTTACTCCAAGAAGCGGGTGATATACTCCTTGCTGCACTTGGACCACGTCAGTGGAGTGGGATCGTACTGGAGCTGATGGGACATGATGTACGGGTGCCTGCCCACGGGCTCACAGTCATTTTCTTTCCCATCATGCTGGATGCCAAAGCTGGCACAAAGCACAAGAATATCAAGAGAGCAGGAATTAAACAGGGAGAAAAATCATAGTTTCTCCAAGGTGATAATAACCCAGAGAGACACTTTTGTATAGGAGGAGCTGTTGAAAAGTCAGACTTTGAAGATGGAGAGGCATAGCTAATTTTGAATCCACAAGAGCAGGAAATGTTGTATGAATGGCTTTACCTCAAATATACAGTTGTGAGAGCCATGTGGCTAGTCCAAAAACTGTTCTTCAGTGGAAGCAGTTTGTTTTTCAATGTGTCAAGTTTTTTAGTTTCCTTCTGGAATTCTATTTTCAGTTTTGGTAATTCATTTTAGGGACCAACAAAGGTGGCATGACGTTTCAGAGACGGATGGCTAATATCATCTAGGGCCATCACAGATGTCCATTTTTAAATTCCCTTTCAAAATAAGTGAAAGCATTCACCTATGCATAGTTAGGTGAGTTAGTTTGCCTTCTCTTTAGCGTTATATATAATCAATGATGAAACAAACAAGTTTCCAAGAAACAGTGAGGTATCTTTATTAGTAAATCACAATGAGTATCTTCTTAGGATATTAGTTCATTGCATTTTCCTTCTCTGGATTGTTCTAGACCATTTCATTGATTTTTACAGTATTTTATTTCTCAGTTTGGTCCAGAGCTAATTAGAAGTATATAGCCCCCCATCCCCCCAAAAAGAGCTAACTACACAGAAGCATCTTTTGCTACATGCAAAATCTTCTCAGAAAGCTCCTAAAGTCTTTAGTCCATTTTTGGGAGTCTTACTAAAGCATTTTTTTCTATTGTTCAAAATCAAGCTCATGAATCTTCTTTCAACTTTTTGTTACTTAGTCAAAACTCTAAACATTTCTGTTTTCCTACTTCCCTTTCCTTTCCCTTCCCATTGTCTGTTTTTGCCATTAAAAAAAATATTTTAGGTCATCTGCACATGGCCCAATACCATTTTTTAAAATTAACTTTTTAAATTGAGCTGCTATAAACATTAATGTGGCTGTGTCCCTGTAGAATGCTAATTTTAAGTCCTTTGGGTATAGACTGAGGAGTGGGATAGCTGGGTCAAATGGTGGTTCCATTCCACATTTTCTAAGGAATTTTGATACAACTTTCCAAAGTGGTTGCACCAACTTTCAGTCCCATCAGCATTGAATCAGTGCACCTTTTCCCCCTACATCCTCAGTAACACTTATGATTGCTTAAATTCTTGATAACTGACATTCTGACTGGAGTAAGATGAAATCTTTGAGTAGTTTTGATTTGCATTTCTTTAATTGCTGGAGATGTTGAACATTTTCTCATATATTTGTTGATCAATTGTGTATCTTCTTCTGTGAAGTATCTGCTTATTTCCTTAGCCTATTTATTGATTTTTTTTAAGTGTAAAGGTTTTTGATTTTTTATATATATCCTGGAGATTAGTGCTCTATCTGATGTGCATGTGGTAAAGATTTTCTCCCATTCTGTTGGCTCTCTCTTCACATTATTAATAAACTGTGGAAATAACCTAGATGCCTTTTCAATAGATGAATGTATAAAGGAACTATGGCATATATACATAATGGAATATCACTCAGCCTTAAAGAAAAATGAAATTATGGCATTTACAGGTGAATGGACAGAGTTGGAGAAAATCATGCCAAGCGAAGTAAACAACCCCCGCCCCCCAAAAAAGGCCAAATGTTTTCTCTTATAAGTGGATGTAGATCCATAATGGGGGTGGGGATGGAGAAACTTTGGATTGAACAGAAGGGGGGAGGGTGTGTGTGCCAGGGAGTGGGGGTGGATAGTAGAATGAGATATACATTATTACCCTATGTACGGGTATGATTGCACAAATGGTGTGACTCTATATCGTGTACAACCAGAGAAAAAAAAAGTTATGCTCCATTTGTGTAAAAAAATAAATTAATAAGATAAACATAGAAAAAATTACTTTTAAAAAATTTTAGAATAACTGCAAGCTCAGATGAAATTGTGAGAAATAATACAGAAATAATCATGTATGTTTTCCCTACCTCCCCACTAAGTAACAGTTTGCAAATCTGTAGTACAATAACACAATTATGATATTGATCTTGGCACAGAAAAGAAACCAAACATTTTCCTCACCACATGATTCCTCATGCTGCACTTCATAGCTGTCTGTACTCTCTCCCCTCCCTCAAATCCCACTGTTTTATTTTCTTTTTGGGAGGGGTACTGAAGATTGAACTCTGGGGCACTCAACCACTGAGCCACATCCCCAGCCCTGTTTTGTATTTTGTTAGAGGCAGGGTCTCACTGAGTTGCTTAGTACCTCTCCTTTTGCTGAGGCTGGCTTTGAACTTGTGATCCTCCTGCCTCAGCCTTCCCAGCCGCTGGGATGACAGGCATGCGCCATGGCACCTGGCCCCAGTGTTTTCTATTTCTATAATTTTCTTGTTTCTATAATGCTATGTAAATGGAATCGTACAGTAGATCAACTTTGGAGATGGTCTTCTTTCACTAAGCATCATTCTTTGGAAGAGTATCAAGGCTGAGGCATGTATTAGTAGTTCCTTCCTTTCTCTCGATGACTGGTGTCCCATGATGTGTATCCATCCTGGTTTCCTCAGCCATTCACCCTGATGGGTTGAAACATCCTGGGTTGTTTCCTGGTTTGGGCTATTATGATCAAGCTTCCATAAACATTCATGTATAAATTATGATATGAAAATATATCTTCATTTCTCTGAGATGAAACACAGGAGTATAATTGCTGGGTCATGTTGTAATTGTGGGTTTTGTTTTAGAAAAGCTACTGAATTATTTTCCATGGTGCTTGTACCATTCTATATTCTCTCCAGCAATGGAGGTATGATCCAGTTTATTTGCATCCTTGATAGCATTTGGTGTCATAACTGATTTTTATTTCAGTCATTTTTTCTCTTTTTAGGACTGATAACATTATAATTATACTTAACAGTGGGATTTGTTATACCTCATTATTTTAGTCATTCTTGTAGGTGTGTAGTGCTATATCATTAGTGGTTTTAATTTGTATTTCCCTGATAGCTACTGATTTTAAACATTGTTTCATGTACTAAATATATTTTTACATTCTTTTGGAGAGATACTTATTCATGTCTTTTGCACATTTTCTAATTATTTGTTTTTTTACAGTTGAGTTTTGAAAGTTTTTCATATAGATACTAGTTATTCATTAAATGTATGATATATTATTTTCCTAAGGTTACCATAAAAATTACCATAAACTTGATGGCTTAAAATAACAGGATTTCATTCTACAGCTCTACAAGCTTACAAAGTCCAAAATCAAATTTTGAGTGATTGTAAAAAGTATTGGATTTTAAAAAAAATTTGGGGGACCTTTATTGGCTCTTTTTAGTTATACATAACAATAATATTTATTTTGACATAATTATAAAAGCCTGAAATATAATTTGTTCTATTCAGTCCCATTTCAGTGTCCATCTATTCATTGCTAGAATACAGAAATACAAATGATTTTATGTGTTTATATTGCGTCCTGTGAGCTTGGTGAACTCACTTATTCTTCTTCTTCTGTTTTTTTTTTTTTTTTTTTTTTTTTTT